ATTATGTTGTTATAGGACAGTCCAGATGCTGAACTGTCCTGCAACCTACAGCATTCTGTTTTTATTTACATTTTATACACTGCTTCAACTTTTTAAATTGGGACTGTAAATGAATAGTTGAATCTCTTGTTTTTACTGCAAAACAATCTTTAATAAATCATTGTTTCTGTTTCAGACTGGTGCTATCAGACCCAGTTCAGCTGTCAACATGAGTGCAATGGTAAGCTTTTAATCACAGGTGGTTATGTGGCTGTCTGTTAGTAAAATATGTCATGTGTGGACAGATTTAAAGGAACTTTTAGAAATTAGTTTGTGAATGTGCAACTGACTTTTGGCGTCATCTCAATTCTGGATGGCTACCAGAGTTAATCAGTTTTAGTGATCACAGAAAAATATATAACTTAATCTTGTAAATGTGAAACAAATGCTTTATTTGTTTACCAGATTCCCCGGGTGCCTGGAAACCTGTTTGTGTTTTAATGAGGGAGGAGGGGGTTATTGCAATCCAGCATTAAATGTCCTTACACATATTTCCCTTTAGAATGCTGATTCAGTCTGCCTTATATGTGTTTTTGTCTGCAGTTAAATCATTTTGAGGTTTACAAAAAGATTAATGGAGTATAAAATTGTAATTTTACAATTCTAATGACCTTACATATATTTATTATCAGTGGTACTGTCGGGAGTTCTTGTAGTTTTTTTTTTTTTTTTTTTTTCCATAATTTATTCATTTGGCTGAATTTATTATTATGATAAGCATGTCAATCCTTGTATTTTTCTTTTCTTTTGCCACTACTTCTGTAAAGGTGGCCTCCATACCACCAGTTCATTCACCTCAGTCATTTTCTGCTCCTCAGCCCCTCCCACTCACACCTGCTCCCTATCACCATTAGTCTCACCTGGCTCAACTTACCTCATTAGACCCATTCTTATTAGGTCTATTCTTCATCTGCTCTTTGACTTTGTGCTTTTTGCCCTGTCTGGTTCCTCACCATCTTCATATTCTATGAATTTGTACCTTTTGTTGTCATGACAGCTTTCTATTTTTTTGTTATTATTATTATTTGTAGCAAATAAACATTTTTGTTTTAATTTGACCTCCCTGTGTAGGTCTGCATTTCTGGGTCCAACACGCCTTCAAACTGTGACGTTACGTCATGATAAGGCTCTTGAAAGTTTGTTTTTTTCTTCTAGATATGTTTTGTGAGTCACAAGCAGGTTTTTTTAAAGCTTGTGTCCACTGGAAAGATTTTACCAACAAACAAATTTAATAGCAATATACAGCATTTGTGTAATCCAAACCTCAATGACAGTCTGATACATAATATGAATTTAGTTGTACTAAATGTTCTGAGAATAAGCTGTTTGTATCCTAAAATATTCATACTTCTCTGCAGCTTTTCATTTAGTTGGAAGTGCTGAGTCATATTTATATTGTTTCCTTATGGAAGAAAACTGCTACTTTTACTTTTAGTGTGTTGGTTTTTGTGATGCATTATCTCTGCAGCACTTCAAAGTTGGTATTTGTATTGCATGCTTTCCTTTTTGTCCCTTTTCTGTTATTAGAGCCATAAAAATATTTGGGCACTTTTTTCCTGTTCTAGTTGGAAAAGACTTTCAAAAACATGCATAACAATAATTTATATACATCACAGTACAGTGACAAGGAGACAAGGTTTTAATGATAATGCTGTGTTTAATTTTAGTATATTTCAGGTTTCAAAGTTTCAATGTAAAAAATAGACATTTTTGCTGAAGTTCATGCTACATTTACTAGATTATTGAATGTATTTTACAACTATATTTCCTTGACACCAGAAAAACAGAACACACAGAGTTGCCAGTGGTTATTTTTGCAAGATTCCTAATTTTAAAGATTAGAAATTTAAAAATGTCAAAATCCTATCTAAATCCTTCAATTATGGATTAAGTTAAGACTCCTCCAAAACCACTATACTCAGGAAAAAAAAAACATAAACAAAGGAAAGGTCACCACATCAGTTTAAGCAGAGATGTTGCCAGAGGGGAGAAAAAAAAGTCTTGAAATTTTAAATTCCCTTTTGTCAGGTGAGTGATGTTCATCCACTTCAATCGACTCTCTTCTCTTTACACTCCCTTCATCATTTGCAATTACAGTATTATTCAATCCGCTGCCGTCAATGCCGTAACAAAAATGGTTTAATCGAACCCCATGGATCAATAGCACCTGATACAYCCATCCCATTCTCTTCTCACTGTGGGGCTCTGCATTTYTAATGTTATTGACTTTATTGAGCAGGATTGGCAACAAGGAAGGGTGAGCATAAGGCAGTCGGCAGGAATAACGGGCCATTTCTTTACAGATTAATTGTATTTATTTATTTTAAACATTATGTTAAGGAATGGATATTGCCCTGTACTTTGTATGTCAATTATTTCGATTAAAAGTAGTATYTGCTGAGAAAAGATGGGGTTGCATCTGATTTGGTCAAATTCTATAAGTGGCATGCATTATCATGCATTATTGGGACATCTGGCTTTAGCTCTAAATTTCTGAAGACAATTTTCACCTACAACACCAGCACTATAATGCCAGACGTTTAAAGTAAACTGATGTGTAATTTGTAGAATTTCTGTTAAGGATTATTCTCAGCTACTACCACTCCGTTTTATTTAATTCATTCAAGTTAAACATAACTTTTAAGCATTTTATTTTGCTGCATTGTGTTGGTTTACTGACTATCTTAGATTAAAACTAGGGCAGCTTTTCATTGCAAATTGATGTTTTTGTCAGTGTCTGTGTGTTTGTATCATCAGCAAAATATCCCATGAATCATTGAGCAACTTTTAATGAAATTTTCAGTAATAATTGGCTGTACAGCTAAAACAGATCAGCCTTTGGAGTCAGTTTGATACAAAATGGACCAGCAAAAAAAATGTGTACAAAATATTCCTCTGTCAATAGATATGTTGAGATAAAATTTGGTGTAGTTCTGCTTAGCACTCACTTAGCAACATTGGCATTTCATATCAACTGTCTGGTAATAATGAAATGAATGTAATGAACCTCTGAAATTGTGATTGGATCATTTAGGACATTTACATTTTTTTCACCAGTTCTAGACTGCAATATCAGCCAGCTGACTTAAAACACAAAAAAAGTGATTTTGCTCTAAAATTTGGAAGGAACATCTCCTAACAGTTCAGGCACAGCACATTGTTCAGRCTATTTTGCTGAAACTTCAGCAAAACCCTTCAGTTAACACTGTTTGCCTGTTAGCAAAGTATCTCACAAACCTCTGGACAGACAGAAAGTGTCATAATGTGTTTGTGTATTTCGGGATGTTTTCAGTGTTTACCATATCACTCCTGTTGTTGCTGTTGTAGTTGTTGTTGTTGTTGTTGTTTAATCAGTTCTCAAATTTGGATTTTGGTCTGTGTCCTTATTGTTTGGTTTCTTGTGTTGGTTTCTGCTTTATTTCTGTGTTCCCTTTCATCCATCCCTATGTGTGTTTCACCTATCAGCTTGCCCCGCCCACTCTCACCTATTCCAGTTTGTTCCCCCACCAGGTGTTTGTGATTATGTTTATTTAGTTCTTCTTTTCATTCTGGGTTTTTCAGCTGAAACGTGAATCATTACACTGGCTGTCTTTGTCACTCCTGGTTTTTYCTTTCTCTTTCCACCCAACTTATACTTTTTAATATGTACATATACTGTAGTTTGTTTGTTTGATTTTTTTTTGTTTGTTCTGTTTTTCCTGCCATGTCAGCATTTTAGTTCCTCATGCCTGCCAGCACTTTTGTGTTCAACCCTACCAACCATCATAGACAGAAAGTAAATATAAAATGTGTGTATGTACATCTGATTGAGAGTCAACTCAGTTCAAGATGGCAAGGACCTTTTTCTATATTGCACAGATTCAAATGCACAAATGCAAAAGTTGAACAGGTGAACTAACATGTTCAAGGAACAAGATGGAACAAAGAAGAAACCTAAAAAAACATTCACACAATTGTGCAATTACAATCAGAAGTCTTCAAATGTTGGCAAGCTTTCAAATGAATTCAGTGATGACTTTGCTTTCTCAAATTTGTTTGTATTTTAAAGCAGTCAGGTGATTTTCAACAAGATGTCTTTTTAACACAGTAAAAACAGGCTTTACTTTCTTTTTCATTTACAGCAATGAACAGATTATTGTGACAGCAGTAATAAATTATTTATAAAATAGTATGATTACCATTCATCTTAGTAGAAAGTCAGTCTATCCTCTCAAAATGTTTTAGTGTAGATAGCCTACATTAATAG